CCATCTTTACTGCCTCTTCTGTCAGGTATGATAAAATAAGATAACAAGGAGCGTGCAAACAGGAACTGTGAATAGGAGGTGCATTTTACACTAAATATGTGCCACAGCTTGTTCCCCACGTTGTCGAAGCTGATACCCTGGTCTCTTTTAAGAAATAGCTGGTTGAGCTCCTTGGATCAATTAACTATTCACTACGAAATGGTCTAGAGCTTAAGATTGGTCACCTCATTGTTGAAGTGGAAGTTGATGCGTTCTGAGTATATTGAGGAGATGAATGAAAACTGTACTCTACCTTTTCCAGTCGAGACTAAAGAGACCTTCTCAGTAGTCCTCTTTTCCTGTGGTGTGTGCTGTCAGGTGGGCGGAGGACACCCTGGGCCTCAGTGGGCTGAGTGACATCGCCGATATCCTGGGGGAGCTGGTGAGGGGCGGAGGGGTCTCGGCCAGTGCTTTGGGTCTGTCAGAAACACAGGCAATAAGACTCTCGCGGTGAGTAACTAGGAGGGGATGTGACTCTTAACACATTAACACACATTAATTCCTTTCTTTCCTTGCGGTGGGTGAGTTCACAGGCTATGAGCATTTTAGAAGAAGACTGTGCCAAGAATCAAGCATAAAGACCCCAACATCTGCTTCACCCACTCATTCCTACATTTAAATCAGGAACACAGGGACATTTTATGACTAGAGTACGCATTTTGCCATTTTCCAAGAAGCTGAATGACTTTTTGTAAGTTAACTTTAAAAAGATCCCCCAGTATAACATCTTCCTCTTCGCAGTTGATATCTTATTTCAGGCATGAGTAATTCTCTATTGTTCCTTATTGAGAGGTAGATCCTACTCCATGATGTAGCTGGTGTGTAGTCAGCCAGATCTTCTGAGTACTCGCAGTTACTTCTAAAGCACAGAGAGAGAGACATGCAAGAGGGTTTTGCCCAGAGGCTGTAACCATGTTTGATTGCCTCGCAAGGCCGATGCTGGATATTCCATCCCGCTGGGTGGTGAGACAGACAGAGCAGCTAATGATGCTGCCTGCCGTCCTGGAAAATCTAATCACAGTGTACCATCGCTTGTGAGCTGCACAGCAGAATGTGTAATACAGGCCCTCCTTCTCCACTGTGACCAAACTGCCCACCCCTATAATACACTGGACAGACCCAGCCATTAATACATCTAATCAGAAACCTGAATTTTCCATCCAAAGGAAATGTGTACATTTTAGTGTGCTTATCCACTTGCATTGTAACGAACCGAAGGAACTAGTAAGTCTAGTAAATTGTGCATTGAGTGGTAGTATCAGTATCACTTCATCTACAGCGGGTGTTTAGAATTATTGTGATCATTTTGGTTAACTACAGTGTATTTGTTACCTGTAAGATCTCTTGGAGCTGTATTTACTGTTGATTATAGTTTTTAAAACTGCCGCCTTTCTTTCCCCGATACAAACGGACATGTGGGCTCAGTCTTACGCCCCTACTGAGATGCCACTGTTAAGAGCGGTTTCACACATGACGTCTGCGGAGATTACTGCTGATGCTCATGTCTGTGCCTGTGACTGCTGATGCAGGGCGGGAGCCCAGCAGCGCTGGCAGCCGGGCCGGAAGGTCAGGAGGTCGGAGAGGGAGAGGAGGGAGGTCCGGGAGTGGATGAGGAGGAAGCAGCGGGAGAGGCTCTCCGAGTTCCACAGGCAGCGGGAGGAGAGGAGGCAGAGGGAGCACAGGCCCTTCGCTGCAGACAGCGTGGCGGTAAGCCCCAGCCTGCTCCGTCTCGACACGGAGCCGAGCTCCGAGAGGTTGGACCGTACTCCATGCTCTGCCTCATTGGGCCCAGATCCAAGTCAGCCTGACCCATTTTCACATGGGGGGGCTTTTGGACTGAGCTTTTGTCTTAATGTTTCTGTGAGTGCGCCCCTGTATGATAATTGAAATTGAGGTGGAATATTCTATCTGTGAAGCTGGGCAGTTACCTTGCACATTATCCATTAATATGAGTAAATTCTTAATCTCATTAATATGAGCGCATACTTAAGCTCAATAAGACTATAATCCTGACGAAAACTCGGCTAATAACAGTATTAAAATATAAATATGTAATAATCCTATTTGTAACTAATTTTTACATTTAAAGCCAGCTTTTATATTATCCTGTTGCTCAAGGGAGCTTGATGTATTTTTCTTAACATTATTTTCAGAAACATTCCTATCTAGAGAGATTCAAAGCACTAAACCACTGGGCTGTAATGCCAAAGTTCATGATCTTTTAAAGCAAAAAAGCAAAATTAATATCTTGTAGATTTCTGAAGTAAATTTCTCCTGCTTTACTGCAAACATAGTTGCTTGTGTTTTATTTTAAGATGTTCAAACATAATGTGGACAGAAAGGCTGATCATTACTGCACAGTGTTTTCAAAGGTAGCTGTTTCTCACGGTTCACTGATAAGGGCCTTTCAGATATCCGGTCATTTCTGATCTGGTCCTTCAGAGGTGCTGACAGCAGCTTTTGATTTTTTTTTTACAGAGGAGCCCCACTTCTAAAGACATCTCCATCAGCCAGAAAATTAAAGAAGAAAAGGACAAGTAAGCTGACTTGATTAGATGTCATCCTGCATTGTTATTCTGAAACGTACACCTCATTAGGATCACGGACAATTCAGATTTGATTTGCTGGGTGTGGTCTTTTCGGCAAGATAAACCTCATTAATTTTGTGAATATTTTATTGCTGTGATTTATTTCTAGAGCCAGGGTTAATAGTTCATTTTGAGTCTCCAGGTAATTAATGTGAATCACTGCACTACCACACATATAAATGTGTCCCAAATTTTGTACATTCCATTTGCGTCTAATGTCAAAAAAGATTTTGGATTAAGACTTTTGCACTTATCATTTCTGAACATCTGCATTGCACCGCTTGAATAGTTTTCAGGACGTCATAGGAGAGCTGTCTGTTGGTGACTATTTTTTAAATTATTTCTTAACTTGTGGTAGTATTAGAATTCATACAGTAATTTTGAAAAACACTAGGTGTAGTATGCGCTATTGTGTTATCCATCTCCATATATAAAGAAGCACTTTTCAGTGGCTTAAGTAATTGTCTTTAGCGAGACAAAAAGGGGATGTTTCCTGTAATTTTGGCTATACAGAGGAAGTTGTTTGTTATTAATTTTTGACATCAGGATGATCATAATTTTGTTCTAGCTGATCTCTTAATTGCCTAAATGAACTCCAGTTAAGAAGCTAGTTATCTCCTTAATTAAAGTATACGGTCCAAAGTTCCGTATACAGTACTTTAATCTCCATATATAAAGAATCACTTTTCAGTGCCTTAAGTTATTGTCTTTAGCAAGCCAAAAAGGGCTTGCTTGCTTGTAATTTTGGCTATAAAGTGGAAATATTTTGATGTTAATTATGGACGTCAGGATGATCATATTTGTTTTTTTTTAGCTGATCTTTTAATTGTTTTAACTGAGTCCAAAGCCAGTTATCTCCTTAATTGGTCCAAAGCTGGCCATCTCCCAAGCCGTCAGCAGGCGGCCGTGTCAGGACAGCCTGGTGCCGGTCTGCAGCTGTGCTGATACTCCTGATGCTGGTCTCTGCTTGCTCAGGGCGGCGCTGCTAGAGCACCACAGCCGGAGGACCAGGGAAGCCCTGCGGCTGATGGACGAGATGCTGACGGACACGGTGCCGCTGCCCACCGCCCATCCACCCTCCCTGGCACACACCCCCGGGAGGAGCAGCCGCAGGTCAGGACGCAGAGAGAACACGGGCAAAGTGGCAAAATTAAAATTAAGGGTTTATTGGAAAACCTCCTGCTGGCACGTTTTAAAACTGCTCTTCACACGCCTGAAGTAAATGTCAGGAATTGTGTTGGAAGTGGTGCAGGAATCCTGAGCTGTCCGCCTGTGTGACAGTGTGGGGCGCATGAAAGAAAACCCAAAGGCGTGACAGTGAGGCGACTGCAGAGGTCAGGGCCGAACTAAGAGCTTCAAATGAAAAACGGATGAAAAAAAACAACCAGCCAGGAACAGGGAAGGGGGAGGACACTCGTCTCTTCCACTGTTGAGTCCTCTCTAGAAGGTGCTTAACAATCTCAGACATACAGAAAGGAGTTGGAAGAGAATTGAATTTGCTAGATTACAGATCATTGCTCTGTGTCCATGGTGTTCATGCAGCCTAAATAGTGCAGGTTTATAATCACAGAGACTTCTCTGGCCAGTTTGTTTATCGCTGTACAATGTGGTCTACCACTTCTGTTCTAGATGGCCTTTTCATTGTCAGGCCTACACCTTTAAATAGTAATTGTGTGTGTTTTAGGGGCAGGGCTCCTATTCGTAGCCAGTCTGCGGGGAGGACAGGGAGAAGGCCATCCCAGGCAGGCCAGGCTCGGTCCCTCTCCTCTCCTGGAAGAACCCAGCTATTCACAGGTACGGAGTTGTAGCACACACCTCTGGGGAGCTGGATGAGCGGCCAGAAAGGAGTTCTCAGATCATTGTTCCACGTGCAGTACGTGACACAGTCAGCATTAGAAATTAGAGATCAGGTTTGCATGGCAGGTTTCATGAAGGAAGCATCATTATCATTATTTATTTTGCATAGATACCTATGTATATATATTTTCTGCAATCTGCTATTATTTGACAGCTACTCTGTAACTCCTGTCATTTGTGTCTAATTGCTTTTGTTTAATCATTTATCATGGCGTTCTTGTTCTATCATTGCCTCATTCCTTTTATTTTGCCACAGTGTCAGCCCTGTTTTTTACAGTGTAATAATGTGTCATTCCGATGGGCCCTTTCTTCGAGTCCTGTTGCAGTGTCGCCAGCAGGAGTCTGTGTGAGTTAACGACCCTGCTGTCTGTGTGCTCTTGCCAGGATCCAGAGTTACAGCACCGCAGAGCGAGACCCCTGCCTGGAGGGGGAGGGCCAGCAAGGCCGGCAGGGCCAGCAGACTGGGGCTGCACAGGCCAGGTGGGCGAGTGAGCTTTTTAAACGAGAATCCCGGAGGCACTTATTGGGAGACGGCAGCTTTGCCAGATGCTGTAATGTGCCCCGCAGGGAACCACGTTAATCCGCCCCCCGTCTAATCTTAATAACTGATGGGACCTTTTGAATGTTTCCATCTGGCTTTACAGATTAGATTCAGCTCAAACTGGTCTCACATTCAGGGCAGAGTAGCTCTGACCTCACTAAACCCAATGCTGGCCAATGGAGGAATAAGAATAAAAGATCAATTGTAAATCAGCTGGCATTGTAATAGCTGTCCAGCCGCTTCTTTAGATGAAGCTACAAAAGTGAAATAGTCTAAGGGACGTGGAGTGTTTCTGGGTTAACCACAAGCTGCTGGTTTCTGATCTTTCCTAGAGAGTACAAGACTGATGTCAGAACAGCTCTTTCCTCCTGATTGTA